AGAGTGTGTAACCAGCAGTCAGAACCAGGATAAAGCTGTATCGGTGTGGTCTGGGGCCGGAAATTTGAGAGGAGGATAGTGCTGGAGTTCTAAAGAGTGTTTGTGGGTGAGGAGATGGTTCTCTGATTAAACAAACAAACAAACAAAAGTGCTCCAAAAATGTATCAAATGTTGTCAAATTAACAGCCTTGGAGACATACCATTTGAGATACCTTGCAGATCTCTTCAGGTGGGGTTTTCTTTTTTTCTGTGCAGTAGGTGACAGTAAGTGCCTGTCAGTAACACAGTAAAAGCCTAAAGCATAATGTACTGTTGCTGACAGTAAAATGATCTTTTGGTTAAAACAGAAACCTACAGCATGGCAGGAAATGTTGGATTGTCTAATGCTTAAAACATTACAATCGATAGCTAATTATTAAGACTCTTCTTGGTTCCTGCCTAAATAATGTACCGACACCATACAATACCATGAATTACCTAAGGCTTCCTCTTGGCTTGGGTGCATCCGTCTGCATCCTTCCGTTCATACGGCGATATTCCCATGTTACAAAGGTCACAAGGCTTTACCTAAGCACAGAATGTGTTGTGCTGAAGCCTGAACATGGTGGTGTAATGTTGGCTTTTGACTTAATATCATGCACTGGTATATTTATACAATTAAATACCAAAGCAGTTGCATTGACACTTCTTTACTGGAAGAGAGGAACAGTGGAACTTAAGTTTTCTGAGATGGCTATGCTGGGCTTATTAGGTGCTGTTTTCTAATTTATAATTGTCTGACTTCAGGGGCAGACTTGATTAAGTCTACTTAACTTGTGTTCTTTCTGTTTGGCTGGATTTTTTTGTTTGTTTGGGGTTTTGTAATATTTTATTTAACTTAGAAGTTTAGACTATAGTTACTTTACAGATTTTTGTTTGTTTTAGCAGTCACAAAAGGTAGGAATCAAAATCAGGCTATACTCTAAAAACCTGATCTGTGAAAGTATATTGATTTTCATGTTTGTATGTGCTGTTCTTTGTAATATTTTGTTAGTTTACAAGTTAGTTTCTCCAGTTGTCAGCCCTGGAGACAGAAGAATGAAACCTAAAAATCAAGGTGTCTCCTTCTGGGTTTTGAATCATTACCAGCAATCCAATATTTGTAATTAGAAGTCTTCAGCAATCTGGTAGTTCTGTAAATCTTTATTTCAAGTGTTATGTTGACTGTGCATGGGCCAGAGTTTATTTCAATTTATCTTTTTCATAGTTTGGTTGGTCTTGCAGAGTTACAAGTTTGAAAGTAATGAAAACTAACACTGAATTATTATTCTTCTAAGTATTTTTTTAAAGGAGAAAAAGGGATTACTTTCTCATGCAACTATACGTGCATTTTCAAACATGGAGCCATTATTTCCTTCTTTGTGACAGTAAAAAAAAATAGTTTTAACAGATCAGAAGTTATTTATTACTACTGCAAGTGCTTTCTGGACTTCAGAAAAACCCATTCTTCTACCTCCCTGAAATATGAATATGTATTAATTCAGAATGCATATTATTTTTTTGTGTTCTGTGTGTGATAAGACACAAGTGCTTCCTCACTGAGCATCATTTTGCAGAGGCATTTTCAAGTTCTTATCTCTTAATATGTTGTATGTCACCTGTGGGGGCCCAGCTACTGGTGTAGGTCTTTGTATTATTGTTTGACTTGGAAATTAAGGTATTTGACATGAGCCATTGACTTGATTTATAAATAGATGTAAGTATATATAGAAATGACACTGTTACTCTTTTCAGTCTACACAATAACGAGGCAGATAAAGGGCATCTATTCCTTTGAAAGAACTGGCTTCATAACTAAGGAACATGATGCTTAGAAAGCAGCACCAATTTGTATTAATATTGAAGTTGATTGAGGTTGTTTCTTTGGTTTTAAATAGTCAGACTTGGAGGAATGAGTAGTGTAATACAACATTGGAAAGCTTCCTAAATAACACATTGGTGGAAAATAACCTGAAGATCTGGTATCTTAAAATAAAGATTTTTTTTTTCCTCACCTTTACAAACTCACCCTGGAAATTAAGTTGCCAGGCATGCTGTCAAATCCTAGGTGTATTGTTTTCTGGAAAAAAAACTTTCTGCAAATGTATACATTTGGAAATTATGAATTGATAGTGTAAAATATACTCAGTATTGTCTCTACAGACCACTAATACACATCATTATGTTGACCTTTGGAAACTAACTGCTTTTTGAGAGTGACTTTTGACTTAATCAATGCAAATCCATACCAAGATACATAATGAATAACTTTGTATTTGAAACATTTTTCATTAATGCCAGTGGCATATTTAATACAAAAGATTGTTTCATCTACGTGCATGGACCTCTCTGCTTTCTAGCTGTGCTGTAGCTACAGCTACAGGTAGGGCACTGTAGGGGTTTTTTTGCACAGTGTCTTGATTTCATTAGTTTTTCTTCCTGTGTGTTGTGGTCAGTTGAATAAAGGTTAGTAGCACAGGACATGAAGGGGTTGTGGCAGGAGCAGAGAGCATTGTGGTAAGAAAGCACAATATAGGGCAAACCTGAAGGGTGCTTTCGGAGCTGCAGCGTGAAAGTCATCTTTTGGTGCTGAGAAACCGAGTCTTTTGCTGGCTGGAGCATGAGGCGTCAATGCCCTGCGTGGGAGCCTGGATCCTCAGGAGACTCTTAGTGATGTTCTGCTAAGCAAAAGGCTGTACCATGGTAGCAGCTGTTACGAGACAGCAGAGGCAGCTTGGGTGAGGGAAGCCTCTTAGTACTTCAGCTCTGGAGATGGTGTCTGTTGCAGCTTGGGTCTTGTGGATGTGGGTGTCGAGGAGCCTGTCTTTGGTCAGGATTTCTCTCTCGTATTGTTCTGTGATGCCTAATGACATTGAAGTGCCCATTGAAGCTTATCCCACAGCTATGGCATCCATAGGTGTCTCCTGCATGGATTCTTATTAGAAGCAAGTTTACACTGCAACGTACACTTTGGTTGAACTATCTGCATCCTGAGACACACATGCATTAAGAATCACGCTCTGTTACTTTTGCTGTTCACACAGTTATTCGTCTGATAGGACTGGGAATGTTGGTTTCAAGATCGTGGCTATGTCACACACACACGCATCCCCACAGCAGCTGTCAGTGTTAATGATCTGGAAGTGCTGCTGAGAAGAGTTGGGTGTTTTCTAGGAAGGAGAGCTGCAGTCCGCAAGGTCAGCACTGAGCTGTTGCAGTGGGCTTTTCCAGATCGCTGCCAGGGTGGGAGCGTGGAAATAGTACTCAAATCCTTGGTGTATTTTACTTGCTATTTCTACTTGTTCTTACATGCTTGCTCTAGCATATCTTGATTTTCCGTTTTTCTAAAGTGTTTATTCATACCTGCAACTTTTTACTTTGTTGAGGGTGTAAATTGCAATTATGTGGAGTCACTTTATTTCCAACATAACTGATTTTATAGAGTAAGATTTATTATTTCAGTAGAATGTTGCTTGCCTTTATATATTTAAAGAACAAGCACTGACAGAAATTGCTTCTCAGTACTCAACTGTTTAAATTTAGGCATAGATCAGGCAGTGTACAGAGAGGGTGGTGAGGCACTGAAACAGGTTGCCCAGAGAAGCTGTGGATGCCCCATCCCTGGAAGTGTTCAAGTCCAGGCTGGATGAGGCTTTGAGCAATCTGGTCTAGTGGAAGGTGTCCCTGCCCATGGCAGGGGGGGTGAAACTGGATGGGCTTTAAGGTCCCTTCCAACCCAAACCGTTCTATGATTCTACGATACATAGCCTGGCTGCTAATATCTCTTTATTTCACTGTCACTTCTCTTGTGCCAGAACAAGCTATAATGATTGAGCAGGGGAAGGCAAATGGGTTTTTTGGAGAAAAAAGTAGTTTGGGTACTGATTTCTGATAAACTAAACTTAGCTGTCTCATGTTCTATAAATGTCTTCAGTTGTTTTACCTGGTAAATCTTTTTACACCCTTGGGTAGACATGGTGCAGTTGAAAATGGCAATAGCAAGTGGCAGCGTGAGTTTCATGTTCTTTGCCAACTATTCGCGCTGTGAGGAGCCTGGGTTGGGATAGCTCAAGTGTGGGTTGGGTGGGTGCTGTGTGATCCTGTCAGTGAGCCTGTGATCCACTGATGGATTCAAAACCTGTTCAGTATGTAGTAGTCTACGGGTCAGCGGGATCTGGCGTAATGTCGTTACGCCGTACATAAAACGCTGCGTGGCAAAAATGGTGCTTTTAACTCACGGCGGTGATCTTACAGGGCACCACGTCGAGTGTGTTGAAGAATACATAAAGGGGTTCCCATTGCCTTTAGTTGACAAAAATGCCACTTGTCTGCTGAAGCGGTATGATAGTGGTTATTCCTACACAGAAGTACTCTACATAAAAAATAATAATTGCAAATATATTGAAAAGGAGAACGAAGGGAATTAAAGGAAGGATGAATCTTCTCTTTTGCCGAGAGATGGAGCAAATATAAGAACAACTGCCTAGACCTATTGTGACTTCAGCATTTGTGATATAAGGAGGCCAGAGTGTTAATACTGCATGCAAGCAACCCACACCAAGTGCACATCTCGTTTTGACATGCATGTTGGATGTGCGTGTGATCTCTCTTTCTAGACAGCAAATTTATGGTGGGTTTGTGTGGGTTTTTCCCAAGATAAGAGAGTGAAAGGGATCAGACTTACCAGAAGCCAAGCAGTGTGAAAGTATAATGGGAAAAATAACCAATTTACAAAGGAAGGCATTAATCTCAGTGAAAGCTAGCTCACTAAAGCAGAAACTCAAACTGCCAGATTAAAAACATTGAATATCCATG